TGCGGGATTGACACAGGCATATCTAGTGAATAATGGGCTCTATCACAAAGCATCCCAAAGCCAATCTTCTCCATGCCACCAGGGGGAGCGCAGCATTAGATATACCAGCTATACAAAATATGACATTAACCCCCGGAACATAAGTCTATACCATTAGTACAGAAATAATAGGCCCTATCCCAAGGACATGGTGGGTTTATTATTAGGAAGAAGCATCCTAACATCTAGAGGATTTTTTGTGCATACAGGAATGATTGATCAGGACTCTATTGGAGAAATTAAAATTATGGTGACTGCTTCTTGTCCTATTCAATTTGAGGCTGGGGAACGGATTGCTCAATTATTAATTTTACCATATATAAAAGGAAAATCTGCCCCAGTTCAATGTACTGGAAGGTTTGGTAGTACTTGAGAAAAAGCTTTTTGGAAAACCTATTTAGAAGATACTACACCTATTATTTCTGTAAAAATAGAAGATAAAACTTTTTCTGGGTTACTAGATACAGGAGCCTATGTATCTATTATATCACGTGATGAGTGGCCTTCACATTGGTCTTGTGAGAAAGTTAAAGCCGCTTCCACAGGGATAGGTACTTTAAGTGATATTTACCAGAGTGCCACGTCATTATAGTGCATTGGGCCAGATAATAGCAAAGGAACTATTAAGCCATACATTGCTGATATTAGTCTTAATTTATGGGGAAGAGATTTATTGTCTCAATGGGAAACTTCTATACAGATTTCTGCTATTCTCCTGCAGCAAAAATATTATGATGAATATGCAATAATGGTTTGGGTAAAACTTACGAGGAAGAAGGGAATCTAAACTGTCATCCACTATTTTCCATAATTGCCAAGGTTTGGGATATCCAAATTTACCATAGCGGCCACTGAGGTAAGATTTGCTCTTCCATTATTGTGGAAAACTGATAAGCCCATATGGACTGAACGGTGGCCACTTACTAAGGAGAAGAATACCATCTTACACACATTAGTAAAAGAATAGTTAGATGCTGGTCATATTGAGCCATCTAACAGCCCATGGAATTCTCCAATTTTTGTGATAAAGAAAAAATCTGGGAAATGGAGAATGCTTACAGATTTGAGAAAGATTAATGAAGTAATTTAACCTATGGGTTCCCTACAACCTAGCTTGCCTCAACCGAGTGTTATTCCTAGGGAATAAAAAAATGATTATTATTGATTTAAAGAGGTACCATTCCTCTTCAAATAGGAGATAAATAGATTTACCTTTACTGTTCTGGCTCTAAATAATCAAGAACTCACCAAAAGATACCAATGGAAGGTACTGTCTCAGGGAATGCTTAACAGTCCTACAATGTGTCAAAATTATGTAGCTCAACCATTACAAAGGTTAGAGAAGTCTTTCCAGAAGCTAAGATTATTCATTATATGGATGATATTTTATTTGCACATCCTGATGGAGATGTATTTGAAGTTTTATTTAAAGATGCCATACAATATCTCCATTCCTATGGATTAGAAAGAGCTCCTGAAAAAGCTCAGTTTTTACAAACTCAGTGTTACAAATCATTTACCTATTTGGGAACTACTATGTATAAAACATACATAAAACCACAAAAAATTAGCATTCATAGAGATCGACTAAAAACTCTTAATGATTTTCAAAAGTTGCTAGGAGATATCAATTGGCTGTGACCTATGTTAGGCATTCCAACCTATGCTCCTCAAAATTTATTTCTAACTCTACAAGGTGACTCTGATTTGAACAGTCCTTGAAGTTTAACAGTAGACGCTATGAAATAATTAAAATGGTTAGAGGAACATATTCAACAGACAAAACTGGATCGATTAGATCCTCATTGTATTATTACTCTCATTATATTTCCCACCACTCATTCTCCCTCAGGTTTATTTTTCCAAGAAGCAGATATTTTCATAGAATGGATATTTTTATCTAATAAATGACAAAAATATTGACTATATATGATGATAAAATAGCACAAATTATTTTAAAAGGGTGCTTGCGTCATAGAGCCTTAGTAGGAATAAATCCTACAGATATTATGGTTCCATTAACTGATAAATAGCAAGATTTGTTAAAAGTAAATGAAGAATGGCAAATTGATTTGAGTAGTTTTATCGGAAAGCTCTCCAATCAACATCCACAAAACAAAAGAATATAATTTCTTAAATTAACAGACATTATTTCAGATAAAATTATTGTTTCAGAACCTATTTCACATAGCTTAACTTTATTTACAGATGTAATAAAATCAGTCTAGCAGGTTATACTGATGGTAAATATATACATAGATTACAAAAGACACCTTATTCATCAGTAAGAATGGCCAAATTAGCTGCAGTTATCATGGCATTAACAGATTACTCACAAGCTTTAAAAATTGTTACAGAGTTTCAATATGGGGCATTTACTGTTCAACACACATCCATTGTTTATTTGTATCCTGATAATACTGAGTCATACAATCTATTTCTTCAGTTGCAATCTTTGTTACTTCAAAGGCAATTTCCACCATTTATTACTCATATTAGATCCCATACTAATCTTCCTGGATCTATGGCAGATACTAATCGGAAAATCGATGAAATGTTGAAACATCAACTATATCTCTCTAATAATCTTGCTTATATAATTAATTTTCATCAAGACATAGATGGTAAATGTAGAAGGTTGGTTCACTAATTCAACATTCCACAAATATTAGCTAAAACTATTGTAAAGCAATGTGACATTTGTCAGCCGATTAACAACCATCCTTTGCCTAATGGTCTGAACCACTGAGGGTCACAAGTTAATGATATGTGGCAAGTGGATGTTATGCATGTCAAAATGTTTGGAAAATTGCAATATGTTCATCATACTATTGATACTTACTCCACTTTTCAGTGGGTAACTGTGTTACCAAATGAAAAAGCTTCCTTTGTAATCTTACATTTAAAGGAGGCCATAAATATCATGGGAGTTCCTAAACAATTAAAAATTGATAATGCTCCAATTTATCTATCTCAAAAATTTCAAAACTTTCTCAGTGGCATATCAAGTATGTCACTGGAATCCCATACAATCCACAAGGACAAGCCATTATTGAACGTTCTAATAGAACACTGAAAGAAATGTTAATTAAACAAAAAGGGGGAAATGATAACACTCCTTGGCTCTGATTATTAAATGCTTTATTTACCCTAAATTTTTAAAATCACAATGCTCAAGGTTTTACAGCTGCAGAAATGCATTGGCCCTGTATAAAAGAAACAGACTCTCTACAGACTATACGGTATAAGGATATTGCTACAAACAATTGGCATAGAGCTCATGTAATAAGATGGGGAAAGGTTATGCTTATATTTCCACAGGCCCTGATCAATTTTGGATTCCAGATCATCTCATAAAGTTTCGAGACGAACAAACACCCATGCTTTGATCTTGATGTGGCCACTGAATGAATGGCCGGTCTTACTTTGGGCCCGATCACATGGAAGGTGGCCAGACCATTGCCCTCTACTAATTCTTGTGCCTTTCCTACATGGGGTCAATTGAAGAAATTAGCCAAGGAAGGTGATCGCTTGGTTCAACCTCTGGGACAAAATTGTAATTCTGGAATTTTATTTTTAGCTATGTTTGCAATAACTACTGTACAGATTTTATACCTACTCTGTGCTCATGTGGGAGTTTGGATGTCTGTGCAGCTTGATTGACCTTGGGAAGAATCATATTCCTGAAATGTAAAACTCAGAACCAAAAGAATGACTGTCCTTATTCTTGTAGTTATCCTGGGGATTATCACTACTACTGCTACTGCTGCAACAGCTGGAATTGCCCTACATCAGAGTATTCAGATGACACAAATTGTGCAACATGGAACTCGGACTCTGAAAATTATGAAATTCTCAAAGACATATTGATAGTGTTCTCAATGCTGAAATTACAGGTTTGGAATATGCTGTAGTTATGTTAGGAGATAAGATTGTTAGTTTACAAAGACAGCTATCATTGAGATGTGATTGGAATGTATCTAAATTTTGCATTACATTTGTACACTGGAATTCAATGACATTTCCTTGGGACCAGGTTAAAAATATTTGTTAAATTATGGTAGTATGACCTAGGAGATATTGAAATTGCAGGCAGATATTATTCATACTTTTTCTAGTCAACTAAAAGATATTTCTGGTCAAAATCTCCTGGAAGGAATTACAGATGGTTTAGGGAAGCTAAATCCATTTAATCAACTTAAAATTTCTAGCACAATGTATTCTATTCTGTTTTTATTAATAATTGTTATGTTTCTTGTATTGCTTATAGTCTGGAGGAGGTCCTCTGGAAACCAAGTGATTTTTTAGCATCACATCATGCTGCTATAGTTGGTCTTATGTTACAAAACCTTGCTAAACAAAAAGGGGGAGATGATGGAACTCAGTTCCGCAGAAAGTGAATCAGGATAAGGTAGAGTCCAGCTGTCTCTTGAAAACAAGAGAATGTTTGGACATTGGCAGAAGACCACCTCCCAGAGTCAAGGGCAGAACACTGCCTTGGGACAAGCTTGTGTTTTCCTTTCTCATGGACTGGAGCTCTGGGAAAGGGTTTGGTTAGTAATAGAAAAGAACAACAGCCTTTTACTTTGAACTTTGCTTGATCTATGTTTTGCACCTGTATCCTTGGCTGACCCTGCTCATTAGGTATAAAGAGCCACTCTTAGAATCAAACTTGCCTTTCTCCACCTGAGAGTTGGGTCCTTTGCCTTCATTTTTCTGTCCACCAGCAGACCGGAGTCTCTGCAGTTACCTGTCTGGTTGCTGTAGTGATCACAGTTACCTGTCTGGTCACTATAGTGGTGACTATAGTTATGGTTACTGTGGTAGTGATCACAGTTACCTGTAGTTGTTGTAGTGGTGATCATAGTTACCTGTAGTTGTTATAGTGGTGATCCAGTTACCTGCCTGGTTACTATAGTGGTGACTGCAGTTATGGTTACTGCAGTGGTGATCAGAGTTACCTGTCTGATTGCTGTAGTGATTTTCAGGACAACTCACACATTCATAGCAGCAGATATGTTGACTTCCTGTGGTTTTCTTCATTTGGCCAGGACTGCATTCCTCAGAGCATTTAGATAATATTTGCTACATTAGAAGAAAAAAAAATCCCAATTAGATTAAAACAAGAAATTATCTTAGTTATTCTTCATTTAAAGAAATATTTGGGGGGCAGGTATGGTGGCACATGCCTTTAATCCCAGCACTCAGGAGGCAGAAGAAGGTAGATGTCTGAGTTCAAGGCCAGTGCGGTCTATGTAGTGACTGTACATAGTGCTTCCAGGCCACCTGGGACTACATAATGAGACTATTAAAAAAAAATTTCTAAACGAAATGTTGTGGGTTTTTTTTTTCATAGCGTTAAATTTTTTTGGCCATCTTGGGAATCTGAGCAAGCTTAAGATATATACAATACTTCCAATGGGGGAGCTGCTTTAGAGGGAACACATTTATAGCCCTTTAAGAATATTATGGAAATTAGCTCTTTCAGAGAGTTCCTAGCAGAGGGAGAAACATATAGTAGTGGAACTGAAAAAGGAAAAGAGGGGCTGGAAATGCCAACTCTGTGTTGAATGACATCCTCCCCACAAACAGTACTTTCTTTTCACCCATACCACATGATAGCAAATGCATCCTGGAGTCTAATATGGATAACTTTGGAATCTAAAAAGCTTTAAGGTTATTTGATGTTTGGGGCTGTGAGGAATAATACCCCAACTAATCTGCATATTGACAAGGAGATCTTAAAATCTGATCAAATGACCTAAGACGTTGTTGGTTTTTATAATAACATCAATGTCTATGAACCTCTCCACCAGAAAGTAAGACTTCCTGCTGGTGGTCAGTCCTTCTACTTAGTCACTAAAACCTCACTCCAATACCTGCATTTTCTCACATAGATTTTTCTCTGTAGAATATGAAGATGAGTTTGGGTAATCATTAAAAAGAGTATTTCTTGCAAAAATAATAGAGAATTTATTCAGTGAGAAAGTGAGACAGAGCATGGTTTAAGAAGTCTTGTGTGGCTACAGCATTCAGCATAGGGTGGGGCTCATTGTGTTGCTGTAAAGATGATGGTTATGATGACAAAGAAGATGGTGAAAATTTGCGTGCCCAAAGGACAGCAGCATTTCTGGTGTCCATGGAAACAGTACTGTACTTTGCTAAAGTATCTGACAGGAGAAATTTGATTAAAGATAATTGTTTGTAGCATTATTGTACTTTCTTTCATCCATTGCGTATTTGCCAAGCAACTACCAGAGTGTGAAGCATGGTTCTAATTTGAGTCATGGCAGGGAATGAAACGAAACAGAGGTTTTTCCTCTAATATGTCTTCAGTTCTAGTTGACAAGGTCAACATAAAGAAGATAACAAAAATAAGCAAAATGGACAAAATAAGAGACAGAGACAAGTTGAAGAAAAAAGTGAGATAAAGCAGTAAGGAGAAATATTAGCAGGTTGACACTGCGGCCTTCCTTCCTTCCTTCCTTCCTTCCCCTTCCTTCCTTCCTTCCTTCCTTCCTTCCTTCCTTCCCTCCTTCCTTCCTTCCTTCTCCTTCCTTCCTTCTCTCTCTCTCTCTCTCTCTCTCTCTCTCTCTCTCTCTCTCTCAGCTTAGGATCCAACCCAGTGCTAAGCATGTGCTCTACCACTGAACTACGCCCACAGCTTAGATGTAGTCATTTTTGGTTTTTGAGGCAGGATCTCAGTATGCAACCCAAGCTCATAATCCTCCTGCCTCAACTTCCCCAGTGCTGGGATTACAGGCATTCTCCACAATGCCTGGCTCACATATGCCTCACAAATGGAATGTCCAGGAAAGACCTCCTTTAAAAGGAAATATTTTGGAAAAAGACAGAAAAGCGGTGAGAAAGCTAGGCACATGAGCATTAGCTAAAGCTATCATAGGCAGAGGGAGCAGCAGGTACACCCTGTAGGATTGCAAGAGAAGTCCAGATTAAGGGGAAGGTGATGGGAGATGAGTTGCTGTGGTCCTGGAAGCACTAGGGGCAGGATAGGTAGCATTTTCTCGAATATGAGTGGGTTTGGAAGAGTGTAGTAGGAGCTCTATTTTGGAGACATTAAGCAAAGATGACTATTAGATATCCAGGTGGTGATACCAATTAGACAGTCAGGCACTTTCTTGAGTTGGAAGTTAGAAGATAAAAATTGAGGAGCCAGCAGCCTTCCATAGAATGACATTATTTAAAGGAAAGAATCTAATAAAATCACCAAATAGACAAAAAAAGAACAGATCTGAGCATAGGAATCCCAGTGTTTAGAGGTTTGGGAAAGGTAAGGAACCAACAAAGGAGACAGAGAAACAGCGGCTCAAGTGACAGGAAAAAAATCAGGAGAGTGCAGCTGTTGGAAGTGAGAGAGAGAGAGAGAGAGAGAGAGAGAGAGAGAGAATTAATTGGCATGACATTGGAATTTAGTATGAGTGAACTAGACAAACCATTTTGATAGATTATAGACATCTTAAGCAAGAATAGGAGGAGAGGAATTGGGATCAGTCAATGTATTTAATGTTTTCAAGGGGTTTTTCTGTAAAAAGAAAGAGAAACTAGGGCAGCAGATAGAAGACACGAACAGTCTATGGGGCTGCTTCTTTTTAAAAATTGTAGTTATTGCTGGGCATGTGGTGCACACCTTTAATCTCAGTACTAGGGAGGCAGAGGCAAGCAGATTTCTGTGAGTTTGAGGCCAGCCTGGTCTACATAACGAGTTCCAGGTCAATTGGGGCTACAAGGTGACCCTGTCTCAAAACGGCCAAAAAAAAAAAAAAAAAAAAAAAAAGACCAAAAAAATCTTAGTTATTTTTATTTTATGTGTATGAGTGTATTACCTCATGTGTGTAACTGCACCTGTGTGGTGCAATGCCTGCAGAGGTCATAAGAACACATTGGATTTCCCCTGGAACTGGAGTTACAGAGAGCTGGCAACTGAACCCAGGTCCTCTGCAAGAGCAGCCAATGCTCTTACCCTCTAAGCCATCTCTCTAGCCCCGAGCTGCTTCCTTTACTGAGTATGGGAGAAAACCCCATGTATTTGGATCATCATGTGTACAATGCAAGAGAGAATCTTTGAGAATGAAAGAGACATGTAAAGTTGCCAGAGCAAGTCCTTAAATAAGTGAAGGGGTTCAGGCCACAGGCCAAGTGGAGGACTACCCTTGGGCAGGAGCACAGACAGTCCATCTATAGTGACCAACGGAAGACAGCAGTGTGGACACAGATATGCTGCAGGGAAGCACTGCAGCTGTTTTCTGATTACTTCAGTAGAACAGAAAAACAGGATGCCCTAAAGTTGATGGATTGAAGTCAGAGAATAATTGGCTAACTAGCAAGGAAAGAGACTTAATGCTGCAGGGAAACAGTCCAATTGCCTAGCAACATTGAAGGTTCACTGGATGTTCATGAATTTAAAGTGTGAACATGAGAGGTGAAGAGATGGCTCATTGGTTAAGAGCACAGCAACTCTTGCAGAGGACTCAGGTTTGGTCCCAAGCAGGCACATGGTGGCTAACAACCATCCATTACTCCAATTCCAGGGGATATGATGCCCTATTCCGGTGGGCATTGCATATATCAGTGCATTTACATACATGCTGGCAAAACACTTTTACACATTTAAAAAATAAATAAAATTACACTTCTCTCCACTTCCCTGGGCCTGCACGGACTCTTCGGCCTCTCTCTGGGTAAGTCTATTGTGCCCTCCATGCCTTGACTGCCCCAGCCTCATTCACCACGCCCCTCCTACTAGCCTGGGTCCTGTCCCATTTCTTGTCTTGGTGCCCCAGACACCAGAGAACCACCACTGCTTCCTGATCCTTTGCATCCAGACCAACCCAGTTCCCTCTCTTGGTCCCAAGGAGCCCTCTGGGCCTGGTCCCGCCCTCACCTCCTTCTGCTTCCCTAGGCTGCACAACCCTCCAGCCTCTTTCCTGGATGCCAGGGCTAACCTTTTGGCTTCCTGATCCTTTGCATCCAGACCAACCCAGTAACACAGTGCAGTCTCCAGGAGCCCTTGGGGCCTCTTCCTGCCCCCATCTCCCTTTGCATCCCTGAGTGTCATGGCCACCAGCTGCCTGAGACCAGCATCTTTCCTGGGCCCTGCTCCCAGGCCAGTGCAACCCCAAAATTCCTGAAGCCAAAATCTTTCTTGGAGGGATCCAGACCTTAGGAGAAAGGCTGAGCACATCTGATCATCATCTGACTTGGGCCTCTGTGGAAACTAATGAAGACAAAAGCAATCTGGCCACTCCAATATAAAATCAAAAGAGAGAACTGGAAGCTAAGACAAACCAGCTTTTCATGCCCCAAAAGTAAACCAAAAAATGCACATAAAGTTTACAAAAAGAAGCAGACCTAAACTTGATTTAGGAGAAAGGCTGAGCACATCTGATCATCATCTGACTTGGGCCTCTGTGGAAACTAATGAAGACAAAAGCAATCTGGCCACTCCAATATAAAATCAAAAGAGAGAACTGGAAGCTAAGACAAACCAGCTTTTCATGCCCCAAAAGTAAACCAAAAAATGCACATAAAGTTTACAAAAAGAAGCAGACCTAAACTTGATACTTTAGTCTCACACAAGAATCAGAAACTATAAAAAAAATCCGCATGTCAAAGCCACACAGAAAGAATAATAACATGAAAAACCAAAATAATGTGGCCCCACCAAGTACCAATAGTACTGTAGAGGAGTACAATAAGAACCCCCTTGAGATAACACAGGACATGGAACTCAAAAGAACAAAGATGAATATAATGAAAGAATGCAGTGAATTTAAAGAACACACAAACAAATTAGTCATAGAGCTGAAGGAAGATAGGGATAAACTTCTGAATGAATTCAAAAAAGAGCTAGAAATATTGAAGAATACTCAGGCTGAAAGGAAGGAAGTGAAATACTCAGTAAGCCAACTACAAATGACAGAAGCAGCCTCACCAACAGGAAGAATGAAATGGAAAACACAGTATCAAGACTGGAAGACAAAGTGGACAAACTAGACCACTCAAGCAGAGTATGAAAAATTTAAGAAAGCACAGGAATGGAATATGCAGGAATTATGTGACACCAT